TATTTTGAATTAATAAAAAATCCTACTGTTCCTTTTGATTACTATGCCATTTTACCTGCCATGTTATAGTTGTTAGAGTTCTTTAATGACTGGTCTATAACTGCAGCCTCCATAATTATCAATTACATAATCCCTTTGATCTATTTATACGATACTCAATACTGACTTGTGGGCCTTGGCTACTCCTATCTAGAATACTCCTTCCTCTCTACTTTAGGTCCTTAGCTCCTACTGACAGTTCAGATTCAGGTCTGACCTTAACATTAATTAATCTAGGAAGCCTTCTGTAACCCTTCTAGATTAGATTAGATATACCTATTCTTTAATCCTATAGTACCATCTCACTCTATTTTTAGTACTTATTAAAATTTTCTGTTTTTTATAGCTATGTTGTATGCTGCTGTATCCTCAACATTTAGCTTGATGCCTTACTCATGGTACCAGCTTAATGAATACTAAATATATGAATCAATCAGTCAATCAATTTTTAAGTAACTTATCCTCCACAGATATATAAATTTAGCAATGGAGCTGGAATTTTGAATTCAGATCTTCAGTCTTATCTATTAATATTTCCATTTTGTTATCTCTTATACATCTTTGTCATTCCATGATGTCATATATTATAGAATCTTTATACTGTTATGGGTTTGAAAATATCTATCCCTTCCATTTACCCCACCCCAACCACCACATGCTTTCTTGTAAATAGGATTCTTTTCTTGTAAATAAGTTATAATGCTATAAATCTTTATATCTTTTGAATTTGTATATCATTTTTGATAACTCAAACACCCACCCAGCCTTTAGGGTGTAAAGGATATCAGGCTTGAGCTGCTGCTTCTGGTAGCATGTGTATGCATGTTGTGTATGAATGCTGTCTATGAATCATGGGGAAACTAGCTCACTGACTGTCTTTTTCATGTATTTTCCTCTTCTCCTGACAGAACCAGGGCAGATGGTGGTAACAGGGGAGATCCGACAAAATATGAAAGGTCATCACATAGCCTTGAGGATAGGGAGAGGCATTGATTCACCTTAGGCAACTTTTCAAAGTACTTACTTGATGTTTCTTTGCTGCGTTTTTTTTTTTTCCCTGTACCTCTCTTCCACATCTCAAATCCTTAAGAACTGAGTCTTTATGATTCCAACTGGCTGCTCACCATAAGTGGTCTCCTACTCTGCCCTGCCCTGACATAGCAATGTCCCTTGTTCCTGAAGAATCTCCCTCCTTAGACTTACTTCTCATCCCTCCTCTTGTAGTGTCTTTTCGCTCAGTGATACATGTTTGTAAAACAATCTGACTAAACTATGTACTGTATTATTCACTGAAAATATCATTGATATTGAGCTATGTATTGAGATAATTTAGATAATCTTATGGTTTCTCTTTAGTGTCCATACTATATATTGAATTCATATTGAATATGAGTTTTTTTACTTTACATTTTTGCTTAAGCATAATGCTTAAGTTATTCCAAACTCACTCTAAATGACATTTTTAGTAACTAAATAATTGTTTTGTTTATGGGTTGTAGTAATTTGCTCTACTATTCTCCTATTATAGGACTTTTAGATTGTTTCCACTCTTTCGTTATTACAAATTATGTTATGAAAAGCATCTTTGTAGACATTGTGGGAAACTGAACTTAATCTAATCTTGCTGAAGAATGTTGAGGAATGTGTCTAATCATGTACAACTATTTCTGTATTTCCTTACACAAGAGATAGCATTCTTGCTATTCACACTGAATAGTAATCCTGGAGTTCTTTCTTATCAGTGCATAGAAAGCTTCCTTATTCTTTCTAGAAAAGTTCTGTTATGTGGACATCCCACAGTATATTCCAACAGTCTCCTATTGGTGCACATTGATTTATGACCAATTCTTTGCAAATACAAATAATACTACTGCAGTGAATAATCTTGTGCATCTGTCATTGCATACAGGAACAGCTAGCTTTATCTGTCGGACAAATCCCAGAAGTTGGATTGATGGGTCAAAGACTAAGTAAATCTGTAATTTTGATGGATACTCCAAATTGTACTCCATAGAGAGTACAATTCTTCACCCTCCAAGAAATGCCTGTTTCCCTAAAACCTTGCCAATAGAATGCGCTGTTTTACTACCACTTTGCTTTCTAAATGACTTGTAACAGATTCAGTATCCCTTACCCTGATCTTGACTGCTCCATGTGAAATACTGGGTAATAAACTGCTGTTGTATATTATCTTTGCCAGTTAACAGGTAAAATAGCATTTCATTATTGCTCTACTCTGCGCTTATTTGATTAGCAGT